CTTGCCACATGTGCCACTTTCTCCTGCCCTGCAAACTACATAGCTCAGCCGCTGCTGGCCTTGTCAACTACTGTGACCCAAGGCAACTGCTGTCAAGCCACCTGCGCCACCTTCACCTGCCCTGCAGATTATGTGGCCAACCCGGATCGGGTCATGGCTACTGAGCTCACTCAGGAAAGCTGCTGCCAAGCCACGTGTGCAACTTTCACGTGCCCTACGGGCTTCGTAGCGAACGTGTCCAACTCTGCATCCACGCTGGTGTACACAGAGGGATGCTGCACAGCTCAATGTTCTGCGCTCAGTGTGTGCCCCGCGGGCTACGTGGAAGACGGCGCCCACTTTGGAACGAGTAGCGACGAGTGCTGTTTGGCGACCTGTGCCGTCTTTCCATGTCCAGATGGGCAAGTGTCAGACTCCTCACAGGCAACCGCCACGAATGTGTCCGTGAGCACCTGCTGCCAAGACACTTGTGCTTTGTTTACGTGCCCAACAGATTATGTGCCAAACCCAGCTGCTGTCAGCAGCACCAATCTCACGACTGAGATTTGTTGCGAGGCCACATGTGGTACGTTCACATGCCCCGCAAACTATCTTGCGGTGGAAGACTCCAATTCCATCACCGTCGTGTCTCTTGGCAGCTGCTGCTCGGCAACGTGTGCGACTCTCACATGCCCAGCGGGAACACACGCGATTGCCCATCGTCAGACCGACACGCTGGCGACTGAGTCCCACTGTTGCGAAGACACTTGTGCCAGCTTCCAATGCTACGGAGGCTTTGTCGTGGATCCTGCCCAAACATCCTCAACCACGGTGTCGGTAGACAATTGTTGCCGCCCGACATGTGCGCTCTTTGCTTGCCCAACGAGCTATGTCGCGGATCCCGCAAAAGCAGCCCTCACCGACCTTTCTGCGTCGGGCTGCTGCCAGCCGACGTGTGCTGCCTTTCCATGCCCTTCTGGCTATTTGCCTGACTTGCTTGCGTCTGCCTCAACCGCCGTCTCAACAGAAACCTGCTGCGACGCAACTTGCGCAACACTCAGCTGCCCTCTCACATATGTACCTGACCTCAGCATGATCACGTCAACCGTAGTGAACCAGGAGACGTGCTGCGACGCTACTTGTGCCAGCCTTGCCTGCAACTCCGGCTACGCACCAGTTCTCGACCAAGAGACCTCCACAAACGTCTCTCAGTCAAACTGCTGCGAGCCAACTTGTGCAGTCTTCCAGTGTCCTACGGGATTCATCACCAACCCTGCCAACCAGTCCTCGACGAACTTGGAGGTGGCAAGCTGCTGCCTTCCGACGTGTGCGACCTTGCTGTGCCCAGCAGGTTGGGACTTCGATGTGGGCCAGGAAAACTCCACAGACGTCACGGTTGAGACTTGCTGCGAGAGCTGCCCAGCAGGTAGCTTCAAGACTGCCGAGGACCCTGTGTCTGGCCCGGGCTACTTGAGGGAACGTTGCACGTTGTGCTTGCCAGGGTTTTGGAATCCTTTGACCGGGCAAGCCGCATGCAGTGCTTGTCCAGAGAACTGGACAACGCCGGCTGAAGGCGCCACGAATTCTTCAGAGTGCACCTGCAAGGAGGGCTTCTACAAGGACGACGGGTTTTGCATAAGTTGCATGGCGAATGCTGTGTGCCCAGGGGCTGATTTTCAGCCTCACTCGTCTTGGGGTCACTGGAGCCCTGACGCGCGAACCTTCTGGAGCTGTTTTCCTTCAGACTCTTGCCTGGAGGGCAGCACAACTTCCACCAATGCATGTGCCGACGGAAGGGCTCCAGATGGTGTTCGATGTGTGCCGTGTGCAGCAGACCATTACATGGCAAATGCCGAGTGCCACCAGTGCAGCGGGTTTCAGAAGGTGCTCAGCATCGTGGGACGGATTGTTCTGGTCATAGCCCTGCTTGCCATCATGGTGATCCTCCGCTGGGAGGCTGCCACGGATGTCCTGAATAAGAGCTTCCGAGAGGTCTGCACGCATCACAAGAAGAAATTGGGACGCCTGGGGCAGGCCATGACAATGGAAGCCGAGTCTACGCTGTTCTTTTCAGCCATTGCAGTCCTGCAGTTCCTCTGGGTTTTTACCTTGTTCCCGAATTGGCAACCGAGCACTGGGATTGAGGAGGTTTGGAAAGCCATCGTGACCCTTGCTGCTTTCGATACCAGCGTGTTCACACACTGCTCTCTGAGCAGTTCTTTCATCAACAACTGGTTTCTGGACTGGAGCTTGCACTGGGCAATCGTTTTGGTGAATATCGTGTTGGTTCTGGTGCAGTTCCTCGTGGCAAAAGACACGAAGACCCACTTCCTAGGCATAATGATGGAAAGCACCTCCTTCCTGATCATGCTCCTGGTCACTGCTCGATTCCATTTTGACCTGATCTTCGTCAACTGCGTGGCGTGCGAAGATGGGCGCCTGTGCCTGGCTGAGGATCCTCTCTTGTACTGCGGTTTCCAGGACCGGGGTTTCGGGATATTGTGGGATAGCTCGTCTCTTAGCTTGGCGCTTAGCTTGGCGCTTAGCTCGGCGCTTAGCTCGGCGCTTAGCTCGGCGCTTAGTTCGGCGCTTAGCTTGGCGCTTGGCCTCTCTTGACTTCTTCCTGTCTCTCGCTGTCTCTTGCTTCCCCTTGCTCCTTGTCCTGAGGGTTTTGGGTTAAGGGTTTAGGGTTTGGGGTGGGATGCCTGGCTCCGATCCGCTCACCCTGCAGGACGGCTCGGTGGAGTGGAAGACCCTGGCCTACGTGTCCATAGTCGACCTCTCGGTTTGGAGCTTGCTGATTGCCTTGGTGTTCTACACCATGGTGAGGACCTGGAAGTGGCAGTGTGGTGAAGGTGAAGGCGTGACCTCAGGCGGGCGTGTCCACTGGTACGTCCTCTTCGCGGAACCTTGGACCAAGCACCTGAAAGGCCACTCGGGGGCCCTGCGCCTCGCTGTGCAGGACTTCCCAGCCTTTACGGAGCACCTCCAGACGCCAGCATCTCGGAAGGATGTGTGGCGTCGCTTCAACTCGCACGTGCTGGAGAAGAAGGAGCAGGACATGGCAGACCTGGCCCTGAAGATGGTGTCGCTCGCAAAGAAGAATAAGAGCGAAGGCGCTGAAGGCGCTGACTCCGACGCACCAAGAAGAGGGACAAGTGCAATCAGGGGGCCAGAGCACGAACACTTGGACCTTGACATTGCAGACATGGCGGAGAAGGTGCAAGAGCTCTACCCAAAGAGCAAGTGGTTCTTCCTGTTGGAGCTCTTCTGGTCCTGCTCCTGGTCATGGCTTCGGACTGTCTTCAGGATGGCCATGACCGCGGCAGTCATGACCCTTCCGAAGGACAAAGCCACCCCGGCCAGCTCAATAGGATGCACCTTTGTGCTGCTGCTACTGCTGATGTTTGCAGGCTTGATGAAGGCGAATCGTTGGGAAGTTGTGAACGACTGGGAGATCATTCTCTATGCGCTGTCGATGGGAGTCCTGGTCCTGCTACTGTCAGGGGACATCACAGCCGTCACATTCCTGGCCAGTGTTACCGTGTTGGTAGCTGTGGCCCCGGTCATTCTTTACCTTTTCGCGTTTGCCATCCGCCGCTGCATCGCCAACGTGGAGGCAACGATGGAGGCGACCATGGCGACGGGCAGCAGGCCCAAGTCACAGGGGCTCGAGGGCATCGTCCAAAAGAGCCTGACCAAGGAACCCATGGAAGCCACGGAAACCACGGAGCCCATGGAACCCGACCAAAGCCAGAAAGAAGAGGAGAAGCCGGCAAACGAGGCGGTCGATGTCGCCTTCTAAATCCTCAGCCGGCACTTGGCAGAGGACCCAGCATCATGTCTAGTGCGCATGTGTCATGCCCACACGTCCACTTGAACCATGTTCGGCCTGCCCAGGTCGGAGGAAGTTAGCAGAGGCGGTTCAGTAAAGCTGACACCGCTGTTTTTGATTTCTTAGTATCCTTGTCGGATCTGGTGAGCACAACTGGTGAGTGTAGCAACTGCGGACCTTCCGTACCTCGCTCGCGGCTGTGTGTGCTTTCCGGGAATTATCTAGGACCATGATCCTAAAAGGGATCATGCTTTTCCAACTGGGCATCGATCAGAAGTCTCTACTGTGCGGGGATTTTGCAAGACATGGAGGACATTCAACACCTTGAGGGTGCATCGGCGAAGGGCAATGGTGTATGTGTGAGTAGAATGGTTCTTACCGAGGTGAAAGTCTACGAAGCATGCATCCTCGTCTCAGAAAGTGTAGGTAAAAAAGGGAGTACAGCAAAAGTAGCAAGAACATCAAGGGATGCCAAGCAGGGGCCTCGCGCGTCGTTGCTCATAGATTAGAAACTGCATCGTCCGACTATTCGAGTTTGAAGGAAAAAGGGTGGCCTGCACAAGGGCAGTTCTCCGCATTAAGGTCACTGTTTCGGGCCTTAGAACGCGGAATCCAACATTTAGGTTACCCAAACACGGGATCGTAATTTGGAGAACTGCGCATAAAAGCTCTGCCAAGCCTTGCTTGGGAGAGGCACCTCAATCGGTTGTGCTCTGATGTGCAGTCGTGGAGAATGCTCGTGGGAAGGTTGCAAGCACAGCACGAAGCTGGCAGACTTGATGAATTTGAAGCATGCTTCGCTCCATGGCTCCAAAGTTAAGTTAGACACACCTGCGGGTTTTGACGGGCAGCGCCTCGGATAGTTTGGTACTTCTTCCATGGGGCATCGATCCAAAGATCCTGTCTGCAGAAAAGTCCAGAGCAAACACAGCTGCTAGTTTGTGATCTGATCTCTCAATCCCATGTGTTGAGATGCCGAGTCACCGAAATGTTCCGCATTCCGGAGCCTTTCCTTCAAAGCCAGCAGCAAGCCTTGCAATGTCTTCTGCGTCCAGCGAGGAATCAGCTGAAGGTGAGGTTAGGTGTTCTGCTTGACAGCAATTATTTCTGATTCCGTGAGCACGACTTACATGTAATTCACACACGTTGCATCGGCAGCAGCTGTCTCCCTGATCATGTGCTTTGCATGCGCACCATGTCTGGCATGTTTCCCGGTCGACGGCTTAAGCAATGTGCCTCAGAACATGCTTTGAAGCTCGAGGGTGAGACCTCGTCAGCCCATGTTTCATCCGCTCTTCTAGTGATGACCTTCGTGGAGATGCGTGTCACCGGCCTGGCGGGAATGCTTTGCACCCTGACCATCCAGCCAGAGGAAAGTTGGAGCCTGGTAGACCTACAGGTGGCCATAGAGCGAGCCACCGACATCCCACGCTGGGAGCAGCAACTGATCGCAGGCACGGTGGAACTGACGGAGCGCACCTTTGCAAGCCATTTCCCTTCGGACCTCACATTGCTCCGGCAGACCTTGCCTGCCGACGAATGGCGGCAGATCGTCGAGCGGAACGCAGATGCCTTTAAGTTTGCCCCGCCCTGCGTGAAGCAAGATCGCGATGTAGCTCTCCATGCTATCTCGCAGGCAGGTCACTCTTTAAAGTATGCCACCTCTCTTCAAGGAGACCGTGGAGCAGTGATCGCTGCCGTGCAGGAGGCGGGCTCCGCACTGCAATACGCAGCAGAGCATTTAAGGTCAGATCACGAAATTGTCTTGGCTGCAGCAAGGAATGATGCGAAAGCTCTTGCTCATGCATCAGGGCAGCTCCTTGAGGATCGGCGATTCCTCCTGTCTGTCCTTCGTCGGAACAGTCAAGCGTATCCAATACTTCCAAGCCAACTCCACGACGAGCTTGACTTTGCGTTGGCGGCAGCAGAGCAGAACGGCGACACGCTCGCACACATGAAGGAAGACTTCCGCCATGTTCCTGCTCTTGTTGCTGCAGCCGTGAAGCAAAATGGCCTCGCTCTTAGACATGCACCTCCATGGCTGCGGGCAGACCGCGCGTGTGTTTTACTAGCAGTCTCGGAAAATGAAGCGGCCTTGCAGTACGCGGAAAGCACGCTGCAAGCTGACAAATCTCTGGTTTTGAGCGCGATCCCAGAGACCGGGCTGGGCTTGGCGCTGCAGCATGCAGCGGAGGACCTCTTGCAGGATTGGGATTTTCTGTTGGATGCTATTCAAAAGAATCCTGATGCTCTGCTCCACTCGCCAGCAGAGGGCCTGCACAACAGCCGCAGCTTTATGATAGAAGCTGTACGAAGGAACGGAGGGGCTCTCAAGAATGCAGGTCCGCACCTGCAAGCGGACCGTGAACTGGTAAGAACAGCAATCCGGCATCAAAGTGCAGCCTTTTTGAGTGCAGCAGCTAGCCTGCAGACCGAGCCTGGATTTGTGGCAGAGGCGCTTGATGTCAACGGACTTGTCATGGAACACTTAGGCCAGAGGTTTTCCCATGACCATGCAATGGCACTGCGTGCCGTTCGGCAAAACTGGAAATCCATCAGATTTGTGCCCCTGCCCCTCCGCAAAGATCTAGACATTATCCTTGCAGCGGTCCGACAAAACGGCATGTCGATACGTTATGCGGCAGCAGATGCGCTGGACCCTGCAACCGCCCTGGAAGCAGTCCAACAAGACTGGCGCTCACTGCAGTTCCTTCCCCCCGTCTTGCGTGGCAATCGAGAAATTGGGCAAGCTGCAGTGAATCAAGACCGTCATGCATTGCACTACCTGTCTCTTGATCTTCAGGTGCTTCTGGGCAGCAACTGCAAAGGTCAGAACGACTTGCTCCAAGCAGATCCTGGCAATGCAGCACAAGCCTTGCAGGCATAAAATGCGCCAAATGCTGCCTGAGCTGCAGAGCGGGACTGGCGCAGCAAGGGTCGCCAAGCCAGTTCTCCTCGCTGGCTCCCTCTCTTCTTTCCCCTCCTGTCCCCATCTCCCCCCATCCCCCCCCTCTCCCCTCTCACCCCCCTCTCCCCTCTCAACCCCTCCCTCCTCTTTCCGTGAGTGTGCAGATGTTGTGCTGCGCAAACAAGCTGCTACCTCGTCGCTACTGGCCGCTACTGCAAATACTGCCGCAATGACGAGTGGATGTTGAGGTGGGAGATCGGTGATTCCCTGCATACGTGCAAGAAGGCCTACCATGTGGGGCCCTCGGGCGAACTCTTCAAGCTATTGAATGAATTGAATGGCACAGCTCTGCTCCTCGGATCTTCCGAGCCTGTCTCAGGGCAGCCAGTCAAGGTTGTGGCGGTTGGTCTGGTAAGGCTGGTAAGGCTCAAGCACCGCTTTCGCACTTCTGGTTCCATGGTTGGCCAGTTGGCCCAGGCGGTAGCCCCAAAAGCCACCCTCGCTGGCAGGCCTACGCTGGAAGAGAAGCACTTCGAGAGCACCTGGCGCACCATGCAGGCATCGGGACGCTGCTATAGAGGGCGTTTTGACAGGAAGTTTGAAGGTTTTCAGGGTTTTAGGTCTGGTATACTCGGCGCCATTTGTAAGGTCTACAGAGAGTCTGTCTTCTCTCTTTTTCGTGGAGAGCGGATGTGCCAGGAAGGGCAGCGGCACTGGCCTCTGGAACCCCCAGCAGGCTGGTGCCCGGTGGATAGCAGCGTCCGAGCTTATCTTGCCCATCTTGCGGCCACCTTGCTCGCTGTATGGCTGACCAGGGCAAGGGCGACGCTGGAGACCTTTTCGAAGACATGAGTTTAAGGCGGCTCAGTCCAGAGAATGCCATGAACAAAGTTTAACTCCCAAGTTTGGATTTTCAGGTAGTGCCAAAGATCGTCTTTACCAAGCAGGCCGGCCTAGAGTCTTCGAGCGGAAGCGATGCAAACCACTGAACGGCTGCAGATTGTCAGCCTCCTGCAGACGAAGCAACTGGGTCGCACATTGAGACAGGACGCCAATGCAGTGAGAGAGATATAGGTAGACGTGTGAGCGATGCATTGCTTACTTGTTGCTCGCCTGCTGTTGAATGCCATTCGGTCTGAAGGGTTGCTGCATCAAACCAAAGCGCCAGAAAGCCATTCCTCATCTTGCGACGCACTCCGACCAGGAGGAAACCCAGGCGGTGCTTGCAGAGGTAGAAGGAGGGGAGATCATCCACCTCTGTCTGTCCATGCATACTTCATAATGTCTGCGGTATCCACTTTGTCCACTTTGCGTCGTTTCCAGGACTCCCGATACTGGTTTCAACGGACGACTACGTCCATGTCTTCAAAGCCTTCTCGAAACTGAACCTTTGGAGCCAGGCCAGGACCAATGAAACTGGCAACGCATTAACTCACAGCTGGAGTGACCGTGCAAACACAAAGCGTAGGTGGTGCAACTGTGGCAAACGATGAGGCCGATGGCCTTGAGCTCCTGCTAAGTTGTGCATACATCCGTTCCGCGCAGCCAAGGCAAGAAGGACTACCCTCCAACAGCAGAGCATCTGGACATCTCGCAGAGTGCTGGACTCACTCAGCCCCAGAGTACCTGCACGGCACTCCTGATTGCCTTCATTGGTTCAGGTCCTTCATCCGAGGGGGCAAATGGGCTGCGTCTTTGGCAAGACGCACAGACGAATCACAAATTCATTCAGTTTGGAAGCAGAAGAGAGGCACAAGATCCTGCAGGTCATTCTAGACAGCATGCACGTACAGCGGCTGGGCCTTGGCTTTGCAACGAGCCTACGGGGCATTTACAGAGTCACCCAAAGGCAGGCCAACCAGAAGATGGGATCAGTAGTTGAAGCCCACATGCTTTTGATGTTTGTTTGGTTCTGGTGCATTGTTTGTGACTTTGTTTGAATGAGTTTGCTTTGATTTGTCGCCAAGGCTGCACAAGGCGCTGCTCTGGCAGTTTACCGATCTCGCGGCTCATTTTGCACTATTTGATACGAGGGGCTCACATCTTTGGATCTGTTCAATGTACACATGCTGCCAGATCGATGCGTGCCTTCATTCAGGCCACCTGTGGCAAGCAGCCTTGAACCAGTTCATGCAGGACTCCCATCACTTGCTATTAGCTGCCGACGTCATCCGTGTCTTTCAAGCTTGACCAGGATGGCAGCTTCACGATGCTGACGATCAAGAGAATGTTCATGGCCCTTGCCGACGCGAATCAAATAGACTTGCTGCTTGCACCTCGGTGTTTGGCACATCTGCTGCTATCGTCGTAGCCAACGAAGCTTGCTTCAAGGAAGCAGCTGCTCAAGCTGCTGAGTCGGAACGAGAGGCCCCCTGCAAGGTGCATGTCAACACCACCCAATCGGCTCATCTAATGTCATCTGTACCAGCATAGAACGCCCTGTCCAGTAGATGAGTCGTAAAGTGTGAAGTGCCGCTTGTGGCTGTCAACAAAAATGTTAATGTTGTCTGCTGATTAGTGTGACCCCCCCCCCCCCCCCCCCTCAACAAATGGATCCCGCGCTTTAGTGTGGGGGGGGGGGGGGGCAATTTGGGGGGGGGGGGGGGTCTGGCTTTATATGATTTTAAAAGGGATGAGTTATATGAATTTAAAAGGGATCCATGTGATTTTAAAAGGGATGAGGTCGTATGAGTTTTTAAAAGGGATCCATATGCTTTTAAACGGGGTGAGACTGTATGAAATTAAAAGGGATCCATACGATTTTAAGAGGGATGAGTTTATGTGAATTTAAAAGGGATTATATGATGTTAAAAGGGATCCACATGATTTTGAAAGGGATGAGTTTATTTGAATTTAAAGGGGATCCATCTATTCCAACCAAGCCAGCCCGCAAAAAAAAAAAAGTCCGGGGGAGCAGACTTTTTATATTATACGGCATTCGGGCAGCTGCTGGACTACCCCCTTTGAAATTTGATTGCCTGGCCTCGGTACAAAAGCATTTTATAAGGAAATTTCAGCTTTGGGGCTGGCCTGGAGACTGAACACCCGACAACCTCAGGCCTCAAGGTTTAGGAAGCCTCAGCCCTTAGGCCTCTGGATCCAAACCCAACTAGCCCGCAAAAAAGATAATTTACCGGGGGGCAAACTTTTTACATTATACGGCATTTGGGCAGCTGCTGGACTACCCCCTTTGAAATTTGATTGCCCGGCCTCGGCACAAAAGAATTTAAAAAGGAAATCTTAGTTGTGGGGGCTGGCCTGGAGACTGAAGATTTCAGGCCTCAGGCTCTGTTCAGAAGCGATTTCTAGACAACAACGCCATTCAACAGCCTCCCCGAAATTTTGCATTGCCCCATTTTTTCACAATTCCGGGGACCTCCTCAAATAGACCCCCCCTGAATAGTTTTTGGATTTGTTTTCACAATTCCGGGGGAGGACACTAATCAGGATACAACATTGCTCATTTTGCGCAGGACTGCTCACAATGCTCAGCGAGTTGCCGCGAATGCGTTTGCCGAAGCTGGTCTTTGGCAGGACTACTGGGATGTATGAGAGTGCAATGCATGGGGGCCCCAGCTGAACTTAGTCACTTAGTCCAGATTCCCACAAGCAGTTGAATCACTTTAATCACTTGAATCACAGTCTGAGTAAAGCCAGCATTAAATGAGACACTTTTCGTGACGATTATGTTTAGGCGAGAAGCTGCGAATAGCCTGTGCATACCACATGTCTGCAATTTCAAAGCAGCGTTTCTCTAAAGCAGCAAGAGCGAAGATTGCACTGTCGCGGGAAGCTCGATGGATCTTCGCAAGCGCAGGCGAAGACGATGCGTACGCGAAAGATGAAATGGGTTGGCAAAAACTTGGGCTGCAGAACAAACCTGGACCATCCTGGCCCCCCCCCCACTCGTAATCAGGGCCATTGGGTCTGTGGGTAAGTGCCTTCGATTGCAGGATGCTTCAGCACTCATGGAGGCCTCTGACCTGCTCCGCTTTCGGGGGGGAGAGTTGATCGCTTCAAAAGGCAGGCGCGCTCAGAGTTGTCTCTGCAGGAAACGCGCGCGTGCTCCTCAGCTTCAGCCTTTCGAACCTTCCGGGAAACATCGAAGCAGTGTCGAATTCCCACGTGATCAGGGTTCAGGGTTCATGGTGACGGGCCAAAAGGCATGGAACCCCGATCACGCTTCACAACACCCAAGGCACAACGAATGGCAGCTGGTCAGCAGCTCTTGGAGAAGGTGAGACCTACATTAGGGTACTATGCGGGTATTGGGGGTATCATTAGGGTATCAGGGTAGGGTACTACGTTATAAGTTATAAGGGTATAAGGGTTCCTAGACTCCTTGGCGTTCTCCCGCTCCAGGTCATGGGCGCCAAGCTTCGCGCCGCGCGCTGGCGCGAGGCGCGGTTGCCAGTTGCTGCGAGTTGGATCAGGGCCCTCTCGAACCTTCGGGTGCCACATAATGGCAATGATGACAATAATAAGAATGATTGTAACAATAAAATTAATAGTAGTAGTAAAATAATAATAATAGTAATAATAGTAATAGTACTACAAATAATAATAATAATAAAGGCATGCTTCCTGGTCTCCCAGCTACCAGAGGATGCTGGCTTTAGCCCGAACCCAAGATGGAAGTGGACCAATGACCTGTTCTCTGAGCCAGCCTGCGAAGCCTCATATCTACTCAGCTACTGTGTATGCTGACTTAGAAAACCCATTGGACCAAGAAGCAGACCGTGAGGCGTCGTACTCCTCTCCAACGCTGTTGGGGCTTGCAGACGCGTCCTTAGCGACAAGAGGTCATAAGGACCTCGGTGCACAAGGTACCCGAGTGCCATGGCTCGAGGCCAAGCAGCCAGGCTGGGAGAAGCTCTACGCCTTTTGCAGCTCATGCGAATGCACGGCGCCCAGCCCATCAGTCTTGAGCAAATGAGGGCCACCATGACTCGGGGATGTGGGTTCTGCATGCCACAAAAGTCAGACTGTCCTAGCAGCTCCCCCACGATCACGTGCCCAAGCAGGCGAGGATACTGGCCGACGGTGCGCACTTTCAACTTGGTGCTGCTTGCCTGTGCCAGGTGGCATGAGCTCCATGTTCTTCGGATCTGGGTTTCGTCTGTAACCGTCAACGAGTCGTCAGAAGTCTTATTGGGACCGCTGTGCCCATGAACATGGTCACAGACGATCCTCCTTTTCGTACATAGCATGGACCATGTAGCTGCCAAACAGGCCCAAGCACTAAAATGGCGATGCTGGCCTCGCGTCCACAAGGGACGGGTCAACACCACGCAGAACCCCAAAGGCTAAAAGAAGAGGCTGCCTGTCAAGCCCTGAACCTGAAATGATCTAAAGGGGGTGCTGGCTGGCAGGGCCTAAACCCGAAACCAACACAAGTCCTGTGGGAGTGGCTGGATACTAAATGGGAAAGCCCTAAACCCTAAAAGAAAGTGCTGGCTGGCACACCCTGGCTGACACAGCCAAACATTGAAAGCTGCAAGGAAAAGCTTGAAACCCTGCGGTGATCCGTTTTCACGCGTGCCTGAAACGCCGACTGTGCAATGGGCGTACAATGATCTGACGTGTTTTAGACCATGCTGACGAGCAAATCTAGACATGGTCGCAGTTGATACTCTTCTTTGCTGGTTGCAAATGATCCCCTGTACTGTCGCTTCGTACCCGTTTTCGGTTGCTGGGGGGGCCACTGCTTGCAGGGCTGGCAGCTTGCAGCAAGCGCTGGAGGTTTTGGCAGAGATGAGGCGCAGAGGATCCATTAAGGTGCCCAAGTTGGTGCAACATGCCAGTTGTGCATCCGAGTGCACAGGTTTGCCATGCGTGACCCGGACATCATTTCCTACAGCACATGCATCTCGGCCGCCGAGAAGGAGCGCAGAGGATGCACACCCTAAAGCCCTAAAGCCCTAAAAACCCTAAAGCCGTAAAACCCAAAAACCCTACACCCTAAGTCCATGATCCTCAGCCCAACACAAGAATTCGGCGTTTGGGGGTCAGGAGCGGGACTGGGCCAGCTCCCTTGTGCTACTGGAGAGAATTCAAACTGCTGGGTCTGATGCTTATCTGATGCCCACGTCATGCCGTGCCATGGCCGGATTTTGTAAGGCTGTGCTGTGACCTTGCCAAGTGACAGATTGAGGCTGAGGGCAGATGCGATTGCCATTAGCACGACTATGAAGATCTGTGAGAAGGCCATGGCCCCCGCACGTTAGGTAGAAACGAGTAGAATCTGAGCAGAAAGTGGCTGAGAGCTGTCATCAAACAATTCATACACTGCATTGAAGCATGGCTCACGCTCAGAGAGAAAGTACGATACTTGGACCAAAGTCTGAGAGCAAGCTAAAACAGCAGCATGCTGACGCATTTGCCTTCCACGGCGAAGTCATTGCAACTCACCTGTTCACTTATGGTAGCCGAAGCCGCATGTTGCGCTGGATGCTGTGCCCACTAGCGCCTGCTGCAAGCCTCAGCTCCACAGCTTGCACTGACCGTCCACCCTGGACACCATGGCGGAGAACGACCCCAAGCGCCATGACGATGCGGGCAAAAGGGCCGGCAGTAAGGCGAGGGAGGCGAGGAGCAAGGCGGAAGCAGCCTCAAATCCAGCTGGAAGGCCATCTTCTCATGTTTGCATCAAGGTACGATTCTTACGAATGCGTCCCCATCCTTCTTGGATATACTAACCGTTGCTAACCCGGTCCTGCTTTTGAGTAACTGCTTGCCCACCCCTCCCTCCGCGGTTGTGTTGCAAGGTTTCTGACTGTGACGTTGCAGGCATCGAGGTTCCGGGTGCAACCTTTCATGGCCCGGGGGATTTTAGTAGGATCTTTTATGGTATGCTGCGTACCAGACGGCGTTTTCAGAGCCCCGATTAAACATCCCAGCTTTCCATTACATCAAAATGTGCTGAGGACTTGCTTTGTTGTTGGCAGAAACTCCTGCAATTGCATTGAACCATTGAGTCACATTGTGAGTTTGCTCGCTCTCTTTGTTTGTAGTATTCAGAAACTTGTAGAAACAACTCCGGGCAGCCACGGAGGTCAGTCTGACATTGATAGCGTCTGGGCTCTGGGTCCGAATGTCGTTCCAGAGGACAGCCCGGATCTCATGTCCAAACGTTGTGGAGTTAGGAGCAATGATTCGCATTGGTCAGTAGTTGCGGCTGCTATGCTTGTGGAGGAGATCTTGCCGTTGCTTCGACACCATGAAGGTGGCTTTGGTACATTGCTAAATCTGCTTCCAGCGCAACATGAGCTCATGAAGTAGCAAGGAGCTTGGCGCAGCAACACCGGCTACTCCGTCAATCTGCCATACTCTTACGAGGGCCACACTGCAGTCCGACCATTGCAGAGGCAAGTGAAGTGAGAGACATTGCCCACTCGCGAATGCGTGCCCGAAGTCACCCGAGGTTGCAGACACTTGTGGATGCCGGTCGAGCTCAAGTCGCTATGCTTGTCCTCACTTACATGCGTGCCAACGGCCTGGAAGTCAACACGATCCACTGCAACGTTTTGTTGACGTCCATGCAGGAGAATAGTAGCAGGGCTGCTGACTTCCCTTTTTTCGGAAAGTTTCAGTGCCCTGAAGGATCCTTCCTGCCAGGCAGCTGTGCGATGGCTGGCTTGGATGAGGTCAGCATCAGTCCCACCCGATGTTTCATCTTACAATATTGCGCTGAAGTTATGCCGACAGGTGGGCCAATGGGAAAGGGGACTCTGCTTTCTTCAAGAGATGGCTGATGTTCACATTGCTCCCAACGACAGAAGCATCAACACAGCCATTAGCTCCTGCATCAAAGCCGGAAAGGTGCAGGCTGGATTTGAGATTCTTACATCCTCGCGCCAAGAGCGTTTACATCTCGATGAAGTCACACTTTGCACTCTGCTCCAAGCCTACCAGGATAAGGGGCAGTGGGAGTCTGCGCTGTTCCTTCTGAGTCGCATGCCGCGCATGCTGATAGAGCCGACCGAGTTTCACTTTGCTGGAGCGATGGCATCTTGCGCTGCTTCCGGGCAGTGGGAGTGGGCAGTGTGCTTGCTGGGCGGCATGCAGGAACAGGAGGTGTTGCCTGACGAGGTCTGCTACAACGCAGTCCTAGGTGCCTGCGATGAAGGCAAAGAGTGGGAGCTGGCACTTCAAGTATTCAACAGCATGTTTCTGAGAAAGCTGTTGCCTAACCAACGCAGCTTCACGGCAGCAATCAGTGCTTGTGGTACATGTCAGCAGTGGGAATCAGCTCTCGCGCTCTTTCACGCGATGCCGGCCCCGAACATAATTCACTGGAACGCAGCGATAAGCTCCTCGGCTCAGTCTGCATGGCCAGTCGCCTTCGCCCTTTTCGATCGCATGATTCGGGAGAGCATCTCACCCGACCTGGATACGATGGGTAGTGCCATGAGGCTCTACCAAACTGCCGGCCATTGGCAGGCTGCCCTGCATCTCTTCACGTCCATGAGGGGCATGAGCATCGTGCCGGACATGGACAGCTACTCTGACGCCTACAACTACGCTCTTGATGCCCTTCACAGCTCAAGCTGCGCAGTGGACCTCTGGAAGCAAGCAGTGAAAGAGGGCATGTTCCCAAGGCTGCTACGAAGAGGACCCGGCCAGAAGGGGTCTAAAGGGTGAGGAGATCTTCGAACAGCAGCCGAACCCAAGCAGTGTTTTTCCTGTGTTCACGTCACAGCACTCTTTCCTAGTCTTGCTTCAGCAGCCTGTGTTCAAGTCTTCCTATGGGCTGTTTCTACGAACAAGGTTATCATTCTGGCATTCTGCCGCTGACCTTCGTGCAGACAATTGCAGACACATCCAAGAATCCAAAACGTGTTGCCTCTCAATTCTTGTCTTCTCGAGGACCAAATAGGTTGGATCTCCATGAGCTCTCATACGGCTCAGCAAAGCTTGCCCTGACATGGTGGATTGATGAGGCACAGGGGCGGCATGAAACTGTGAGCTGCATGAATGAGTTCTATCTGATGCAGCTGCGCACATGCCCACACATCACCTTCGCAAGCGGCCATCGCTGAAGGAGTAGGGTGAAGTTGGAAGCTCATCTCACGCAGACGAGGTCGTGCCAGACCTACTTGGTGCAAAGACCGCACCACCCTACTTTCTAATCATCTTCGGGCGCCTGAAGGCCATACTTCTTTGCAAGGTTCATGTTTGGATCGCTTTCGGCTACACCTTGATATTCAAGTTGCTTCACTCGTGAAAGTGTGGTTGTCACAATACGCATCGCACTGGATCGCACTCTAAACTTACGGGGCAGTGACAGGGTAACTGATTTTGTGTTACTCTGCGCAAGGGTAAGCGGGGCGAAGCAACCTTACGGACGATGACGACGGATTTTCTGGCGCTGGGCTCAGGGGCTGATTCGGGCTAGCTTCTCAGATGGGTTCCACAGGCTTCCACCCGCCATCACCCGCTGCCGAGGATGAGCTGGGGTTGCCGTGGAAGGTGGCCAAGGGGGATGGCCTGCAGGACCGGAGTTGACCATGTAGGGCTGCCCGGCACAGCCGTGGCTGTGAAAATCAAGCTAGGGCATCGTCTGGACAGTGCTCCATGGGGCTGCAGATGCCTGAGCACCCCGACATAGAAACGTAGAAACGTCTCCTTCAAACACATGTCGGACAGAAGGATACAACATACTGCTTCATGCGGCGAAAGTCGACAGGCGCACTGTCTGCCCAGGACTTCGGCGCCATCACTGTAAAGAAGGACGGACTGTTCGCCAGACTACGACGCTTGAAGCGGGTCAAATCAAGGCGGTCGAAGCCCACTCGGTGCTAGCGCGGCTGGCCTGAAGGATCCCGAAGGTCTTTCTGAAGGTGAGGCGCGAATATGACTGTTGAAGGTGAAGCGCAACACGACGCTGGCCTCTGACTACCCCACGCCATGCCTGGATCAAGATGTTGAAGAAAACTTTGCATGCCCTCCTCGAGTTAGCAGAGCACGAAGCTGCACATCGTGCACTGATACGCTGAACCCCGCAGCCAGCGCGGCAGCTCCGCCCAGATGAGGGTAGCAGCTGTTTGGGCATCGAGCGCATCTCGCATCGCCCCCTTGAGCTCTCCAATCACGGTGCAGCTTCCACAGCTCTGCAGCACCTGGCCAATGCGCAAAGCACGCCTTCTGCTCCAGCTGTACATACTAGTTACTAGTAGGTGTCGTGACCCAGCTGTCAAAAGGCAGGCTGTCGTGGATGTTTTCGCAATTCGCATTCTCTGCGATGATCCTGGCCAAATGCATGAAGGGTCCCAGTCCGAGTGAAATCAAGGGCCCATGCTGCACCATCTTGGCGAGCCGTGCAGGGCCTGGAGTGGGAGCACCCCCTGCAGCTCCTGATGCAAATGTACCGCTCGACCCTGCAGCCAGAGCCCAAGGTTTTGAAGGTGTGCAGATGGCAAGTTGGGATCTTGTGAGGCCAGACACTGTGACAACCAGCTCGGTGCTGCGAACCTTCCAGGAGGCAGATTGAGAGCGAGCAGCCTGACTTGTCGTTCTCTGTTGTACAAATGAACCTGACACAGCGGTTTGTGTCTCAAGTTGTCTTGCGCCTTTCGCCTCATGCAGTCGATCCCTTTCTCTCTCTGCGGAGAGCGGAGATACTTTCGAAGCAGCGCATCGCAGCAGCTTGCCCAAGCGGCATGCGTTTTCTTGATTTTGTGTAGCTCCAGCATCTGGCCCTGCAGGGGATGCGATGGAAGGACAACTGTCAACTACTGCACGAAATTCTGCAGTCACTCGGCACATTTGGACCGCTGTTACGTACACAGACGCACACACCCCAATTGAAACAACCTCTAATCTCATTGAGGCGGCCATTTCCTGACGACATTAAAGCTCACAACTCTGCAGCATCTGCTCTGGAGAAGGCGCGACAATCTCAGTGCGTGGCTGTGCGCCCCACATGACCGCATGCGTGCCAAAGCCAGAGGTGAGCAAATGGCAAAGAGCGTTCCGTCCCCAGCAGCACTGACTCAGCACCCTCACCTCTTGCCTTGATTTCACGAACTTTTACCAAGCTTCACTCAAACCACCGCGATTTTGGTGACAAGGCTTGGAGCTGTCGAGTACTGCGGCAACCGTGGGTGTGACTCCCGGCCAGCTCATGCAGTTGCAGGAGACGCGTGGAGTCGTTTGCCATCTTTTTGCCGTTTTCAAGGCTACAAGCAGACTTGGCCTCCTTCGGAGTTATGCTGGGTGCCTGTGCAGAGGGAGGAAGCCCGCAGCTCAGATCTCTTGCAGACGGCACCATGCCCATCGGGGCCCGTCGCTTCCTCAGACTTCCTCCTCGCCGTGGACGGCCTTCAAGCCCTCGTCCGCAGAGGCTTCAGGCCAGGAGTGACATCATGCGAAGCTTTAGGCCATACGCAAATGCAGCTCTGGCCCTGCAATGTGTGTGTGTGCTGGTGTGGGTGCAGGTGTTGGTGCAGGGGCGCGTGCGGGTTCGTGTGAGTGCGGGTGTGCGCGTGCACGGACTGTAAACATCTGTAGACCACCGTGCAGCAACTCCAAGCCGCTGATCAGGACCACGGTGACGCACAAGTCCTCTGCCAAAGCTGTCATGCCCCAGCCTTTCCTCTTGTCAAAGTCGAGTCATGCAGAATGAACGAAAGTCCAGCAGAAAGATCCAAGAACACAGCTTCTTCTTAGGAATCATTGTGTTAATCCAAGCACAGAGAATTCTTGGGCAAGAAACCACTACATGGACATTCAGAATCCCAACTAGACAGAACCGGTCAAACGAAAGCGACCTGAAACACATTTCTTCACAGTGAACGAAGTGAGCGTGCGTCCAGGGCATTCACTTCGCCCGTCATGTCAAAAGGTTCTTGTGATCACGAACGCTTGCGGACCTGGGTGTGAGTCTGGTCTTGCTTTAATAGGTCAACATCGAGAACCGTTCACAAGAATGTCCTTTCGTATGGAAACTTGGCCTTTTTTTGAGGGGGTGGGCGTTGTCAATATTGACAAAGATACTCCCCAAATTAATTTGGATTCCCACCAGTGGGGGGAGTCAATGGGCACCGTGCGCGCGTCCGCCAGTCAGGGTGCGCGGCGTAAAGTCCCGCGAGCACTATTCTCGCGCGCGCGACGCGCCTCAGGATGTCTCTGAAATCATTTGAAGTCATTCGACATCCTGATCTGCAACCTCTGGAATGACGTGCGCAGGTACAAGTCTCACAGACCTGGTTGAGGCCTTTCATCATCATACACACACGCATTAGTGCTCCACCAACACCCCTGTGCACATCCTAAATCAACAGTCGTAGACTGGACGTGCTCTTCAACATCAATGACCTTACTCTGCGTGTGCCGTCGATTCTCGGTGACCTCTCGCAATCTTGATTCTTGGGAGATATTCTCTGAGGATTGGCACGGGACGTGGGGTCTCCTCTGATTCATGCGTCCAGAAGATCCGCTGACTCAATAGACCACCACTGCAGTTCTCGCCCACACAGCCTCGCCCTGAAGAGGTTTCCCATTCGACCTAGATCATCCTATATCATCCTCATATCGAATTCTCACTTGGCGGTCGACCCACCCAGGAATTGAACTAGACCCCTGCTCGACTGGATTCACTCCCGCATGGTCTCGGGCCCACGCACTCGGGCTAGCTTTCGTTGGCCTCGGCGTGCCCCTGAAGTTTCTTCTGAAGCGACAACATGCCTCCAAAGTTAATGCCTTTCCATCAGCTGAGCAGGATTTCACCGCAGTTCCTGGGCATGGCCTTGGAGGCAGGTGGTGTAGATTACTGGCTCACTTTCCGGCAGAATGATTTGTGGGTGGTGCTCTCCAATAGACCTGAAGGTCGGTAAGGATGCTTCCAAGAGCATTCTTCTTCGCTTGGTTGCGAGGCTGGCCGTGAGGATCACTCGACGGCATCAGCAGTCGCTGCGTTGCGCCGAGCTCAGATCTGACGAGAGTTTGCAACTTGTCCTCGCACAGAGATCTCGGAGACTTGCTTGGGAGAGCTGCAATGCCCGGTGTCCCTGCATCGAGTCCCAGAATTGAAGGCTGGGCCAACTGAAGGAGAGCATTGCGGCTTGGCTCCATCGACCCTCTCGGCATTCCGAGGAGGCGCAAGTACACTTTGCAGCCTTCTTTGAGTGCTCCCTCCCCAGATTCACAGCGACCCTTTCTCAGCCTGGTTCCTCAGGCGATGCTTGGCGTTCGTGAGTCTTCTACAGCTGTTGAGGTGGATGCGACAGCATGCTGTCATACTCAAGGTTTTTTGCCTTGCCAAGGTTCGATGGTTTGACATTCAGGTAAGGATGCTGTGGGGCCTCCGCATTTTTACCCCCACCATGAGCTTTAGGCTTGAGGTCTTTCGCTGCTGAATTAGCCATTTAAAATTCGTGTTTTTGAGGCTGTTCTTCTGCTCCCATGTAGTAAATCCAAGACGTGTCTTCATCGGGTTTGTGTTCGGTGTTTCAGTTGTACTGAGTCGCGGGATGGGGGGGTGGGGGCAAGCGGGGTGAAAAAGTCGCCCGTGATCGCTACCAAGATTGTATACGCCATGCGCCCCTAATAGCCTATTTCTTCACCCTGCCCCCAACCCCTCAGGTGACCATACATACACAGACTCTCAAACCCAACCAAATCCACGCGCCCCCCTAAGTTCGGTTTGTTTTGAATTAAGGAGATCATGGGACACCTAGCCTTTAACGGGTCAACAAGGGTTCGTATACGCATTTGTCTATCTTTTGTTATATAATGTTGCTCTATATAGAGTATCAGTAGAAGATGCTGACACATCGACTTTCCGAATTCAAATGCTGCATGCTCCAGTCCCAGTACGAAAGATCTGACGAAATGATGGTAAGCAGTGCCTTTGAGAAGGAGGAGGTTTGTTTTGTTGGTCCCCCCCTCAATCTCCCCACTTCAGGAAAGCTTGTTCGAAAAATCCAATCGTTGGTGGGACATATGCTCACATATACCTTTTTGTGAATTCAAGGGTTATAGTCTCCCACCCCCAATAAGAACTAGCTGAATGGTAGGAGTGATTGTGTAGTATGTCGTAAGTCCTTCATAGTGAGTTCCCTTGTCCAAGATGACGGTATAGCCTTCCACATTCATTGAAATAATGTTGGGAGACCTTTGAAAAGCATTGAGATTGAAAACTACGATGTCCGCATTCAAGGGAAAATGGCCAGGCGGTTAGAAGAGTATATTTATTAAGAGATATCTGCTCAGAATATTCTCGTTTTTGTCGGGGCTTTCCTGGAACGGATAAATTTGAATCCTTTCGATTCCTCGCATACCTTCTTGTCTTCTGGTTTGAGAGAGTATAGTTCTTGCCTTTATTCTTCAGAATCTTGTTTGATGTATATTTTAGTATCTACATATATGTATATGTAAATGTCGGTGCGTACATTTCTGTATATCTGTGGTATATATGTCTGCATTTGCAAGCCAAGAGAAGCAGGCAGCCCTTACAAAAGAAAAAAGCCTCGTTTTCAAGAACACAAAAACAAAGGCTTTCGAGTCTTTCGAGTTGCGCATACATTGTCTGAACTTGTGCCCTTTGGTCAGGCCCATCCAAGCATGGGGGCACGACATTGAGACTTATGTTCATTTCGCGGGCGAAATGCCCCTGTCAAAGCACAAGCCTCAAATCGAAACCCCAGGACTTCCCAAGGATACCAAGTGATGGAAAATGTCTGCAGGCAATTGCCTTTGAGGGGAGTGTTCCTTTGCTAGGCAATGGTGCCCCCTAGGCAATGGTGCCCCCTTGCACATTTACTTGGAGAAGAACTCCTTTTGAAAGAAATCCAAATGTCCCCAAACTCAAATTTCAGAAACCCCTAAATTGCCAAGTCCGAAGTTCGCGATTTGCTTGATGGTTCTGTCCCTGGGAAAGTGTGTTGTGGGTAACTTTTCTCTCATGGCATATTGGCAGGGTGAAGGGAAAGGGAAACAAAGTAGCCCATCTGACTATGAATGATACTGTAGGGATAGAGATATTGGTAAAGCTGAATCTTGCTTGAGGGCTTCAGGTTGGGATGAGAGCTCACCCATCCCTAGCTCCTTGAAAGTTCGAGCACGTCCGCCACCTGTTTCCTTTATGAGTTTACATGCAGCAACCCTGGGCCCTAGGCATAGCCTGGAGGAACATAAGATAACGCGAATTGCGAGATAGATGGAAACATCACAAGTATGTAACCCCGTGCCGTCCCACCCTCTTGACATTTCCCTTAGCCTTCAGCCCTGCTGTTAACTTTACTTCAGGTACTTCAGGCCACTTCTCGTTCCTTCGAGCACATGTCATCTCGTAAAGATGCAGGTGCTGCAACAGTACGGGGCCCTGGAAAGCGACACGTACCAGGCCGTGCACTAAGCGCCAGAAGCGCAGACCCTTTCACAGCCGCTTAGCCTTGCGAGGCGTTTCGGAAACGAGCCTGCAGGCCGCAGCCTTTGCTTCAAAGGAGGCGGGAGACATGACCACCACCACCGGCACGAAACACGCAAAACCAAGGCCAGTGCTCGCCGCACTACATCCCAGAAAGTGGCGTGCGACACTGAGTTGGGATGTCTGGGGTTCTCTGCCAGCTGCTACACTCGCAGTCCTGCTTCTCCGTTGCAGGTGCCTTTGCAAAGCCCAAGGCGCTCTCGTCCTTGGCAGAGTGTGGGCCCAAGCTGACGGATTTGATAGCCTCCACAGGTCGCGTCCACGGCTGCGCATAGCCGTAACATGCAGAAACCGCCGAGAGCTTGTTGTCCTCGGGCCTGTCATCAGCATCTAGGGCGCTATTCATGTATGTGTGTGCATAGAAAAATAATAAAATATGTATTCTAAATGAAGAAATACATGCATGCACATTCTTTGTATATGCTAGCGGCACATTCACGTACAAGGCTTCTAGCAAGTCTTAAGTTTTTTCATAAACAAGAAGCGTTTCGCCTTGGCGAAGTACTGATTTCAGACAAACACTCCTTATCCCTTTGTACTTACAATGTTACCCGTGCATCCGTTTTCAGAGCATCCATGCCAGAACCGCACAATGAGAATGTCCATGGTGGCACCCACCCCGAAACCCGCGCCCTGATGACAAAAGCTATGCAAGCCTGAAATCTCACACCCTCACACCCCCAACCCGAAACCAAGAAGGAAGCAACTGCAATCCCGAAAACCCTGCACCCAAACTCCCCCATCCCGAATCTCAAGGCCTCGAGTACAAGTCCGAAAACCTCAAAGAAAAAAAAAACGCTTACATGTCTGAACATACCACCATGTTGCCAAAAACACGCGTTTCGCCTCGGCGAAACGCGCGCCTCAACGTTTACACAGGTATGGTTTCCATGGCGGCGGGTTATGTATTTAGGGCTTAGGGTTCGGGGCTGAGGCTGAGGGTACATGTATAAAGAGTATACACAGACTTGCACTCTGAAACAAAGTCCCTAAACCCTTTAAACCCTAAGCCCTAAACCCTGAACCCTAAACCCTAAACCCTGATTAAACCCTAAACCCTAAAGCAGAACCGGAAGGTTGGCTGCCATAGGCAGCCTCGGGATGCCCTTCACCTTAGACGCCTTGGATGCAGTCAAGGCCTGGCTTTGCTTGGCATTTTGGATGATTCAAGGGTTTAGGCGTTTAGGGGTTTAGGGGTTTAGGGCTTGGGGCTTAGGGTTTAGGGATTCACTCTGGCGAGGGGGGAGGGGTCTTAGTAATTTGGTGTTCCTTTTTGCTAAGATTCTCGCGTACTTGGGGGGTGCCGTAGATCAAGAAGGGCCGCCTTAATGTGCTCCACATGGGCGTTTCCTACAACCTGGGTCATAAGCCTAGACCCTAAACCCCAAAACCTCCACTTGAAGCACAACATGCCACGACGGCGCCGGCAGGCCCTGGGCGGAATGCGCTGGTCGCCGACTGGGCGTGGCGGCCGCAAGCTGAAAGTCAGGGTGTGCACCGCAAGAGGTGTAGAGTTTAGGGTTTAGGGTTTAGGGTTTAGGGCTGCTGCATGCTGTTGCTAAGAAAGAGGCTGCTCCCATACCATACACGACACTGTTGTTTATACTGTAGCTCTTAACACTAGCACCAGTGACTTGTGACTTGAAGTGGGAAGCATGGGGAAGCTTCACCGAGAAGTTTCAAGGCACCCGACGCCTTCTCGCCGCGCGGGCTCTGTCCGAAAGGAGCGCCATGCATCCGAAGTTCATCAAATTTCACATCTGAGTTGAGTTTCACAATTCTCTGTCTGCAGCAGCGGATGCTGCAAGATTGGCGTCATGCGCATGAATCTTGCTGCCCATGTAGCACTGGGAGATGGTGTTCAGGCCGGGCGCCTCTTCAGCCACAGTAACTGCTTGGTCGAGCTACGTCATCCAGCATCTCACCAAGAAGTTAAGGTTGTGGCAAGGGAAGAGATGGCCAGAGTGTCCATGTAATCAGCACATCATTGAATCCTCCCCCAATGAACTTGAGGATTGCAGCCGGACGTCCGCTCATGAACAAGGAACAGAGGCTAAAGTACAGGGCCGTTTGGGGGTTTCTGGAGGTTCGCAGACTCCGCAATCCTGCGCTTCAGCTGGGTCCGTGAAGCGATGCTATACTGTTCATGAGACTGGCATCCGGCTGCAATCCGAGTGCACGCGCTTCTTTGACTGGACCGCTATGAATGCAGTGACGGCTTGTGATGCACTAGGATTCGTGTCGTATCAGGCCCATGGATCACTCCAAGCTGGAAGGCAGGACACAGCATTCTAAACCCATAGAAGCAGCTTCAGATCGGAAGTGGAGCCGTTCTTGCAGTGGACGCTGCACAAGCAACTGCTGCTAAGTCCGTGCAGGCGGCACAGCATCTCCAAGGCCATTTTCATCTTGGGCCTCAGCTGAGCAGATGCTGGCAGTACTTGCAGAATAGCCGAGGAAGCACCACTATTCGATTGTGGAATTTGCGTTTGGCTCATCAGACCATGGCCAACTTTTGGTGAGTTGGACTGAGTTGGGCGGACAGACGGCTTCTTGTGCTCAGAATACTGCTGTAGCCTCACCTCACATTGGAAGCACCTTTTGCAGAGCAGTTGTCAAGCTGTCTATGGAGCCCACGTTTCACCGGAGCACGCTTCGACCCAGTTCGACGTGACTCCCTCGGAGTTCCAGTTCGTTGAGAGAGCTCTTGGTAATCGTTGGTAGCTGGGGTAGCTGGTTGACATGGAGATAAGCGTCACCGATTCGGCTTCGCAGCATCTTTGGGACGTGCCTTGGCTTTAAACATGTGACAGTATGTGATACAAAAGGAACAAAGGACACCCCATCTCGTAAGACACCCTAAGTCCCTCAGCTGAGCCCTTCTAGGGGCACCTCCTAGAGTCACTCAGTTTTTGGAAGCCAGGTTTCAGAAAACTATGACTGGAAACGTGAGACCACAGACAACTACCACGTGGAAGGCAGGCACATGGTGGGACCCTATAAAGACATCCGCGAGAAGTTGGATTTCGACCACCATGGCTGCTACGGTGTGAAGCGCCAGCAGCTCCAAGACGAGATCATCAGCAAAGTGGTGGGAGCTGGCAGCAGAAATCCGTATCCCTGGATAGTTTTCACAGCTGGATCTTTCTTTGCTGGCAAATCCTGGGTGGCGTCTTGGATGATTGAA